TATTTTAATGTTTAATTTTTATGTAAAATTATTAAAATTTATTTCCAAACAGTTTTTTATTATATTGTGTTTATTTTATATATAAATAAATAATATGAAATAAATAAATCATTTTTAATCACCAATAAAACTATCCAAACTCTGCTTTAAAAAGAAATTCATAAATGATAAATTTAAGTGAACTGGACGGCCAAAGTTACCTCCATTCCTTATAACTAACAACCAATTTATTTGTGCTTAAATATCTTACTTCAAAGAAAGTTGTGTTCTACTTACTTTTATTGATATCTTCCTTAATTACTCCCATATATTAATAAATATCTTTTATTTTTTAAAGACAATATTAATAATTATAAAGTATAATTAATAAACTTCAGAAAAACACATACTTAATCTTACATATACTTATAAACTATATAAAAGAATAATCACATATTAATAATATGACACATCAGTCTTATAAAAATTCGGAAGCACAATTATGGCGAACGACATTACAAAATACTACAGAATTTATAACTTTACAAATTTTACCGCCTAAAACAAACGGTTTCCAAAAACACCACCAACGAACGGTTCTACAGAACATAAGTAGCAATAATAACCGAACATTCCTAAGGTTCGACCTTCACTTCCACCTCTTCCAGTACTTCTTCTAGCAACTCTTCTCCTTCTGCTCACATCACACGGATGATCATTGCAACAGGACAAACAACCGATCGCACAACACAAACAAGATAATAAATAGGGTAAACTTATGTAATTTAATTAATTCAATAAAACATACAATTTTCGTGATTAAATCAAACAACAACCAAATCATAATTCATACATCATGGCATGCAAAGACTGACCACTTGACTCTGATTGTCCGGACTGTATGAATCCTCTGTAGCTACGACGTTTGTGCACCCGGGTGATGTAGTAACTCGAATACCCTCAACAGCTGTCACCTGAGGTTAATCCGTTTCGTCCAAGTTAACCTTATGGACTAGGACCTCCTGTCATTCCCACACATGACTTATCCCTCTCTACGTGAGAATGAGTAATCACGGAATATCAGGATAAACGCCCGCTAAGCTTTGCCCACATTCATACTTTACCATTCAATAACCACTTTCTGAGATATTCCTCCCTTAAATTCTCTTTCATAACCAAACTATTTCATTCGCATCACATTTCAAATTCCCTTATACTTCATCATCAATATATTCAACTGAAATAAGATCACACTTTCTCATCATAGCACAAGTCCGAATGGAATAACACTTTTTAGAAACTAACATGACCGAGCGCTATTTACAAATTTATCCGCTTCAATGAACTGACCCTTAAGAGTTCAAACCGGACGCCACGAAGCCTAGGCCGAGTACTAAGACTCTAGGTCGAAAACCATTTATAGACCAATACTGTTTGACACCAAATACTAATAACTGATGAGATACTATGAAGAAACGAACGCTATTGAGTTTGGCCGAACGTTTTTATTTGAAAAACGGTAATAATATATTACTGAAACGAGACCGAGCACTTGGTTTAAGACCGAGCCCTGTAGAAACCGAACACTATTGAACGAGCGCTGGTCTAAGACCACGCACTTATCAAGAACGAGCGCTACTGAGACCGAACGCTCATTTACATATATCTAATAATATAAAACGATTTTCATTAACTAAATTCTCTACAGAATAAGAACTTAGTTTAGACGGACACTCAAAGGAAAATTGAACGGTCAATACTAACTCTCGGTTATAGTTTACATAATTATGCAGAGTATTACAGAGTGACTCTCAGACAATATCCCTAAAACATGAGAATTCAGTTAAGACCCTACACTTCCATGAAGAATCGAACGATCACGAATGACGCTCGACCACAATTACAGAATTTACTCAAAACACCCCTTTCGCTTACACGTATAATCCACTAAGTTAGGGTTTTAAGGATTCTGGCATTAAGTGTATGAATATTAATATTAAAAACACATAATTAATAATAATTTAATTTTGTACGAATATTTTTATTTTTTTAAGAATATTTTTACTTTTTTAAAAATAATTTGTTGAATTGATGTTTATACTTTCTTGATTATTATATTTATTAATTAAAACAATAATTATTACCATTTTTTACTTTATATTTTTATTTTTAAATAATCAAATTCATTTATCTAATATTTTGCAAAAAATTAAACTATAATTATTTTTAATCAAATTAACGTCTACCATTAAACAAAAATTAAATAACATCTAATAAATCTTACAGAATGTAGATTATAAAAAAAGTGAAATATCTATAACAAAATCTTGCACTAGCATTCAGGAATTTTGTTTTTTTAAATCCATAAGGGTGTGTTCGGTTGGAGAGAATTCACTGTTTACAGTGATTTGCGAGCGAGGATGGAAGGAGCTAAAGGTGTTCATTTGCAACATTGTCGAAGACAGAAAACGATGGATTTGCGGGAAAGCACGGTTCGATCCATCTTCGCATTACTGAGATGATTTGCGCGGATTGTGACCACATTTACACATTTGCCCTGAGCCATTTCCATAATACCGTATACATGTGTAATCGATTACACAAACGCGTAACCGGTTACAGGGCTATAATTTCCAAAGCAACATGTGTAATCGTTACAGGGCTATAATTTCCAAAGCAACATGTGTAATCCGTTACGCAAACACGTAACCGGTTACACAAACGCGTAACCGGTTACAGGGAGGTCATTTCTTTTTCCAAACTAACACCTCTTTATTTTATTTTTCAGTTTTTTGTATAATTATTTTAATATTATAATTTAAAAAGATCTACATCTTAATAAAATTAGGTATATTATATTTTCTAATTTATTAAAATTAAGTTGATTATTTAATTTTTATAATTTTTAAACATTAATTTTATAAATTATTCATAACTTTTTTTTCTTTATAAACAATTTTACAATTAAATATAACATTTATAAATAACATTTTATATTACTTTTATAACTAGGAACATTTTGGTAATCTTTAATTTCTAACAATTAAACTAATTTTTAAAATCTATCACATCAATCAAATCCTATACTCATTCTCACAAACTTTACTTCCAAATTCACTCTCAATTATCCACAAATCCACTCAAAAAAATAACTAAAAAATTATTCTCAAATCCACTCAAATCCATTCAAATCATCTCCTAAAAAAACACAGCCTAACTCTTCATTTTCTCTGTCTTTGCTGTCAAGTGATGATGATTTTTTTTGTCATTCCTGCTGCAACATGAACCATGAAATAATTACACTTTTTCATGTTACATCTTTTTTATGCCCAAGGTTGCCACGTCTATAAATTATTATTATAATAATAAAAAATAAAAGGGTTACTGCAAATTCACCACTAAAATGAAGTGGTGGGAGTAAAAAAGAAATCATCACATTTTAAAAAAATAATCTTTTCAAACAGCTAAAATAGTTACCGCATATACTCAAATCATTAAATAAATATCAAAATATTAATTAAGATAATCATTAAATAAATATCAGAATCTTAATTAATTGACCACAGGTGCTATGCGGAGATTAATATTTCAAACTCTTTATGCCTTGTCTTGGCAAAAACTACTTTTTTATATCATTTTTTACAAAAATTACTTTTTGAGAAAAAAAAAATCTCAAGAAGAATTGTGTTTTAGTTTGGCTACTCAGTCTTTGACACAAATGTAAGACACCCCCAGTCATGTTCAGCCGAGATTCTGCTAATGAACCCCAAATACATCTCAGTTTATGATCCTTTATGAAATCTGGAAACTCACTCCCTAATACATTTGAACAGATAGACTTCAAACTGATTCCTTGTCCATATCCAAGGAATGCATGGAGATGGCTAATGTGGTCCCTATATCCGACAAGTACACAGGATCTTGAGAAAATCTTTAGGCGAGCAGTTCAATAGTTGACAGGTGTAAAGGCATTCTTAAGAAATAATTGTATTTCTGATCCAAACAGCAGAACGTAAATGATGGTGTGGATCTAGTTTATGGTAGGCAACAATGCCTCATTCCATCATCTCATCCATTCATTTGTACACAAAATTCGATCAGTTTCCTTCCACCCCGGTCACCAACCTCAATCTTCATAGTATATCATCTAGTTGATGTCAACAGTAGATTTATCCTTTTTTCTTGTAGTTCATTTTCTCTCTAAATTGCTTATTGTTGCGTAACTCACCCAAAAATAATTACTCCTTTTTTCTTGTAGTTCATTTTCTCTCTGAATTGCTTATTGTTGTGTAACTCACACACCCAAAAATAATTATGTACATTGAATATGTTCCAAATAAGAGAAATCAACCCTCGCCAGTCTTGAGATGCCCTTGACAAGAAAATCATAAGTTTCACCATTTCAGTGTTATAGTGACTTTATTATTTCTTTAGTTATCCACTTCCTTTCCAGGATTTTAAAACCAAGATTCTGGTATTTGCCTTAGGGGGCGGCATGCTGTTAAAGGAGGTTGTCTACAATGCACCTTCCAATTCCACTTCAAGATTAGGATGATATTTAAATTATCACACATAAAAACTTTAAAGTCAGTGGTCGTAGAAACAAGTGCATTGACAGTATTTTAATATTGTAGAACCACTTCTCAGTGGGTGTGGTGTCACAAGCTAGATCACAGTTTTACTTGAGTAGATAATAAAGAACACACCTTCGGACATGTAGTAGCTTGATAGTATGCATAAATAGACACTGGTGAATGACTATTTGAGGAAACAGATATCCAGATTAGAAGGTCAGGAGTTTGAGACATCATGAACCAAGCATGGTCCAGGTAACAGACCCGTCATATCACAGACATGCATCCAATTTAAATTAGTCTTGTTTAAACTTTACCAGGAATTATATGATTCCTTTTATACAGCCCCCATCACTTAAGCTCACATTTTATTTCCCCTTTTTAATTATTTCAGACCCTGGCGGAAATTAAACAAAGGAAGCAAAGATTTATATACAGTTCAATCAGTAACTCATCGCCAGATTCTAAAATTTTTCACAAGCAGAGCTGCACATAGAGTCTATGTAGGAGGATTACACAACATTAAGGATCATCTAAAATTGCAAACGCATATATGATACAAGAAAGGCTGCCTACGAACCTGGCCTACCAGTAAACCGATGGGATGGGACTCCTAGATGCCGACAAAATTGCCCATCCTCCATGTTGTTACCTAAAGGTGCTTTGCGCTTCCGAAGAGTTGCCTCTAAGCTCCGATCGTCTCCCTCTACATAACATTTAGAACTAGATTCAATGTTGCCATAGCCCATTTCTCTAGGATAAAAACAGAATTCTTTGTTTCTCTGCAAAGACAGATGACCAAACTTGCTGCCCTCGGGTGAAGCTCCCAAACCAACATCGTCTATTTCATATGCTGAACTACTCTTGCTGCTTGAACATGGATGCAGGCATTGACCCAACCTCAAAGACAAATCACATTCCCTGCCTGGTGCCACCCCCTGAGTGACCAAAGCATTTTCTTCTGCCAATCTGCTTGCAGCGTGACGGAACTTACCATTGGAATAGCTTTGCCACATACCAATTCCAGAAGGCTCCGGGACTTGAACGACTGGCCTTCCAACAAAGATTGTGTCGGAGCACGTTGTATCTCGATGAGTAGTCCTTGGCTGAGGTTCTCTGGCTTCATAACCGTAGTACAAGGGATAAACTGAACCCAAGTTCAACGAGGGTCTAGCTTCCATTGTCAATGGCTGGTGATGGGCAGAAGGGAGACCTTCCGAGAAGTGGTAGCTAGGTGAACCCATCAGCTTGCTACTTTGGTGGGTAGAATCTGGCAGGGGAATCGGTGACACCGCAGAAGCTGTGACTTTGCCATAGTTCAATGGATTTCCAACAACAGGTTTGAGAGACATAGAAGGGGGTGGTTGATATTTAGGAGAGAGGTATGTCCTGGGGTTATTGTGCCGATCGCTTCTGGAAGTTCTCACAGGCTTGCAACCCAGGTTAAGTGNCCACATTTACACATTTGCCCTGAGCCATTTCCATAATACCGTATACATGTGTAATCGATTACACAAACGCGTAACCGGTTACAGGGCTATAATTTCCAAAGCAACATGTGTAATCGTTACAGGGCTATAATTTCCAAAGCAACATGTGTAATCCGTTACGCAAACACGTAACCGGTTACACAAACGCGTAACCGGTTACAGGGAGGTCATTTCTTTTTCCAAACTAACACCTCTTTATTTTATTTTTCAGTTTTTTGTATAATTATTTTAATATTATAATTTAAAAAGATCTACATCTTAATAAAATTAGGTATATTATATTTTCTAATTTATTAAAATTAAGTTGATTATTTAATTTTTATAATTTTTAAACATTAATTTTATAAATTATTCATAAATTTTTTTTCTTTATAAACAATTTTACAATTAAATATAACATTTATAAATAACATTTTATATTACTTTTATAACTAGGAACATTTTGGTAATCTTTAATTTCTAACAATTAAACTAATTTTTAAAATCTATCACATCAATCAAATCCTATACTCATTCTCACAAACTTTACTTCCAAATTCACTCTCAATTATCCACAAATCCACTCAAAAAAATAACTAAAAAATTATTCTCAAATCCACTCAAATCCATTCAAATCATCTCCTAAAAAAACACAGCCTAACTCTTCATTTTCTCTGTCTTTGCTGTCAAGTGATGATGATTTTTTTTGTCATTCCTGCTGCAACATGAACCATGAAATAATTACACTTTTTCATGTTACATCTTTTTTATGCCCAAGGTTGCCACGTCTATAAATTATTATTATAATAATAAAAAATAAAAGGGTTACTGCAAATTCACCACTAAAATGAAGTGGTGGGAGTAAAAAAGAAATCATCACATTTTAAAAAAATAATCTTTTCAAACAGCTAAAATAGTTACCGCATATACTCAAATCATTAAATAAATATCAAAATATTAATTAAGATAATCATTAAATAAATATCAGAATCTTAATTAATTGACCACAGGTGCTATGCGGAGATTAATATTTCAAACTCTTTATGCCTTGTCTTGGCAAAAACTACTTTTTTATATCATTTTTTACAAAAATTACTTTTTGAGAAAAAAAAAATCTCAAGAAGAATTGTGTTTTAGTTTGGCTACTCAGTCTTTGACACAAATGTAAGACACCCCCAGTCATGTTCAGCCGAGATTCTGCTAATGAACCCCAAATACATCTCAGTTTATGATCCTTTATGAAATCTGGAAACTCACTCCCTAATACATTTGAACAGATAGACTTCAAACTGATTACTTGTCCATATCCAAGGAATGCATGGAGATGGCTAATGTGGTCCCTATATCCGACAAGTACACAGGATCTTGAGAAAATCTTTAGGCGAGCAGTTCAATAGTTGACAGGTGTAAAGGCATTCTTAAGAAATAATTGTATTTCTGATCCAAACAGCAGAACGTAAATGATGGTGTGGATCTAGTTTATGGTAGGCAACAATGCCTCATTCCATCATCTCATCCATTCATTTGTACACAAAATTCGATCAGTTTCCTTCCACCCCGGTCACCAACCTCAATCTTCATAGTATATCATCTAGTTGATGTCAACAGTAGATTTATCCTTTTTTCTTGTAGTTCATTTTCTCTCTAAATTGCTTATTGTTGCGTAACTCACCCAAAAATAATTACTCCTTTTTTCTTGTAGTTCATTTTCTCTCTGAATTGCTTATTGTTGTGTAACTCACACACCCAAAAATAATTATGTACATTGAATATGTTCCAAATAAGAGAAATCAACCCTCGCCAGTCTTGAGATGCCCTTGACAAGAAAATCATAAGTTTCACCATTTCAGTGTTATAGTGACTTTATTATTTCTTTAGTTATCCACTTCCTTTCCAGGATTTTAAAACCAAGATTCTGGTATTTGCCTTAGGGGGCGGCATGCTGTTAAAGGAGGTTGTCTACAATGCACCTTCCAATTCCACTTCAAGATTAGGATGATATTTAAATTATCACACATAAAAACTTTAAAGTCAGTGGTCGTAGAAACAAGTGCATTGACAGTATTTTAATATTGTAGAACCACTTCTCAGTGGGTGTGGTGTCACAAGCTAGATCACAGTTTTACTTGAGTAGATAATAAAGAACACACCTTCGGACNTTTAGAAACTAACATGACCGAGCGCTATTTACAAATTTATCCGCTTCAATGAACTGACCCTTAAGAGTTCAAACCGGACGCCACGAAGCCTAGGCCGAGTACTAAGACTCTAGGTCGAAAACCATTTATAGACCAATACTGTTTGACACCAAATACTAATAACTGATGAGATACTATGAAGAAACGAACGCTATTGAGTTTGGCCGAACGTTTTTATTTGAAAAACGGTAATAATATATTACTGAAACGAGACCGAGCACTTGGTTTAAGACCGAGCCCTGTAGAAACCGAACACTATTGAACGAGCGCTGGTCTAAGACCACGCACTTATCAAGAACGAGCGCTACTGAGACCGAACGCTCATTTACATATATCTAATAATATAAAACGATTTTCATTAACTAAATTCTCTACAGAATAAGAACTTAGTTTAGACGGACACTCAAAGGAAAATTGAACAGTCAATACTAACTCTCGGTTATAGTTTACATAATTATGCAGAGTATTACAGAGTGACTCTCAGACAATATCCCTAAAACATGAGAATTCAGTTAAGACCCTACACTTCCATGAAGAATCGAACGATCACGAATGACGCTCGACCACAATTACAGAATTTACTCAAAACACCCCTTTCGCTTACACGTATAATCCACTAAGTTAGGGTTTTAAGGATTCTGGCATTAAGTGTATGAATATTAATATTAAAAACACATAATTAATAATAATTTAATTTTGTACGAATATTTTTATTTTTTTAAGAATATTTTTACTTTTTTAAAAATAATTTGTTGAATTGATGTTTATACTTTCTTGATTATTATATTTATTAATTAAAACAATAATTATTACCATTTTTTACTTTATATTTTTATTTTTAAATAATCAAATTCATTTATCTAATATTTTGCAAAAAATTAAACTATAATTATTTTTAATCAAATTAACGTCTACCATTAAACAAAAATTAAATAACATCTAATAAATCTTACAGAATGTAGATTATAAAAAAAGTGAAATATCTATAACAAAATCTTGCACTAGCATTCAGGAATTTTGTTTTTTTAAATCCATAAGGGTGTGTTCGGTTGGAGAGAATTCACTGTTTACAGTGATTTGCGAGCGAGGATGGAAGGAGCTAAAGGTGTTCATTTGCAACATTGTCGAAGACAGAAAACGATGGATTTGCGGGAAAGCACGGTTCGATCCATCTTCGCATTACTGAGATGATTTGCGCGGATTGTGACCACATTTACACATTTGCCCTGAGCCATTTCCATAATACCGTATACATGTGTAATCGATTACACAAACGCGTAACCGGTTACAGGGCTATAATTTCCAAAGCAACATGTGTAATCGTTACAGGGCTATAATTTCCAAAGCAACATGTGTAATCCGTTACGCAAACACGTAACCGGTTACACAAACGCGTAACCGGTTACAGGGAGGTCATTTCTTTTTCCAAACTAACACCTCTTTATTTTATTTTTCAGTTTTTTGTATAATTATTTTAATATTATAATTTAAAAAGATCTACATCTTAATAAAATTAGGTATATTATATTTTCTAATTTATTAAAATTAAGTTGATTATTTAATTTTTATAATTTTTAAACATTAATTTTATAAATTATTCATAACTTTTTTTTCTTTATAAACAATTTTACAATTAAATATAACATTTATAAATAACATTTTATATTACTTTTATAACTAGGAACATTTTGGTAATCTTTAATTTCTAACAATTAAACTAATTTTTAAAATCTATCACATCAATCAAATCCTATACTCATTCTCACAAACTTTACTTCCAAATTCACTCTCAATTATCCACAAATCCACTCAAAAAAATAACTAAAAAATTATTCTCAAATCCACTCAAATCCATTCAAATCATCTCCTAAAAAAACACAGCCTAACTCTTCATTTTCTCTGTCTTTGCTGTCAAGTGATGATGATTTTTTTTGTCATTCCTGCTGCAACATGAACCATGAAATAATTACACTTTTTCATGTTACATCTTTTTTATGCCCAAGGTTGCCACGTCTATAAATTATTATTATAATAATAAAAAATAAAAGGGTTACTGCAAATTCACCACTAAAATGAAGTGGTGGGAGTAAAAAAGAAATCATCACATTTTAAAAAAATAATCTTTTCAAACAGCTAAAATAGTTACCGCATATACTCAAATCATTAAATAAATATCAAAATATTAATTAAGATAATCATTAAATAAATATCAGAATCTTAATTAATTGACCACAGGTGCTATGCGGAGATTAATATTTCAAACTCTTTATGCCTTGTCTTGGCAAAAACTACTTTTTTATATCATTTTTTACAAAAATTACTTTTTGAGAAAAAAAAAATCTCAAGAAGAATTGTGTTTTAGTTTGGCTACTCAGTCTTTGACACAAATGTAAGACACCCCCAGTCATGTTCAGCCGAGATTCTGCTAATGAACCCCAAATACATCTCAGTTTATGATCCTTTATGAAATCTGGAAACTCACTCCCTAATACATTTGAACAGATAGACTTCAAACTGATTTCTTGTCCATATCCAAGGAATGCATGGAGATGGCTAATGTGGTCCCTATATCCGACAAGTACACAGGATCTTGAGAAAATCTTTAGGCGAGCAGTTCAATAGTTGACAGGTGTAAAGGCATTCTTAAGAAATAATTGTATTTCTGATCCAAACAGCAGAACGTAAATGATGGTGTGGATCTAGTTTATGGTAGGCAACAATGCCTCATTCCATCATCTCATCCATTCATTTGTACACAAAATTCGATCAGTTTCCTTCCACCCCGGTCAC